AGTTCAAATCCCGCCACCGCCAACTCAGCGCTTGAGTAGAACTTCGGTACGCAAAAATGTTGGTCAATAACAGACGCTACTTTGGATTAATATTAATGACTATTAGTGGCTGTTCTTGTGCTAAGCCAACAATATCTTTGGATATAAGAACATTGTATAGAAAAATATAGCACGAAAACTCAAATAAACAAAAAAAAAAATAAATAAATAAAATAAATAAATAGTATTATAAATATTATATTATTGCTGTTAATAATATAATCTTACATATACAGTAAGATAAATGTAAAAAACAGACAGCAATAACCACAACAACCATAATAATTTTATATTTTTCAATTTTCTTTAGAATAAAAAAAAATAAAGAAAAATAAAATACTTAAAAAAATTCAAAGAAAATCAAAGTGTCTAGAAGTAAACGTGGAAAGCACTGTTTATAGAATAGTGCATCTATATTATCAGCAGTTGAAGCTGTAAAAATGGAGTTTCTCAGAGAGCTGCTTATAAAGCTTTTGGCGTTCCAAGAAGTTCGTTGCAAGTTCGACTATCTGGAGTAACCGAAAATGGAGCCAAACCTGGACATCCAACTACTCTAATTTCAAAAGAAGAAAATAAAATAGTAGATTTTGCATGCTATCGTGCATTTTTAGGAATAGGATTCGGTCGATATCAATTTTTTAAATATGCAGAAAACTTTGCTTTAAAACACAAAAAATCATTTAAGAACGGAACACCTTCTGAAAAATGATGGCGTGGAATGTGCAAAAGGAACATGTGCTTTTTGCACAAGCGCTTACTTTACGTCAACCAGAAGGTACAGCTGATATTAGACATCAACGTATGAATACTTTTTTGAAATATTTTTCTGTTCTTCAAAAATGTGTTAATGGAAAACAACTTAAATAATAAACCATAAAACATTTGGAATATGGGTAAGACGGGTAAACAGTTTGATTATTGCCCTGGAAAAAAAATTGCTGAAAAAAGGAGTAAAGTATCTACATACTTCAGGTAATCGGGAAACAATTACTGTTATAGCATGCTTTAATGCAACCAGTAACTTTATTCCTCTACATTTTATAGTAAAAGGAAAAACTATAAGATCTCTGTGCAATTTTCAAATTAAAAATGCCCCTGAAGGAAGCACATGGAGTGTTTCAGACAGTGGTTGGACAAAGCAGGGCATTTCTTCCAAATATTGGTTCTGACAGACCTCAGTTACTTATTCTAGATGGACATGACTCACACAACTTTGTTGAGTTATTAGATGTGGCTGTGGCAAACAAAATACACATTGTTGAATTGCCTGCGCACACTTCCAACTGGCTACAACCTTTTGATAGGACAGTATTTGGCCCACTCAAAAAAGCTTACAGAAAAGCATGTGAGAATTTGATTAGTAATTTTCCTGGGACACTAGTTTTTGTTAGTTTTTGTGGCTTGATGAAGCAGGCTTGGAGTGAATCTGTTACTGTAAATAATATTAAATCTGGTTTTCCAATATTTTTAATAATCAAGATTAAGATTATTTTGTTTTAATTATTCGTTTTTATTTTGGTTATTGTCTTTAACTTGAATATTGATCTTTTAATATCCTAGTTATTCCTATGTTCTACTTAGTATTCCTGATTAAACTCGTAATAAGTAAACAAGCTTAGTTACGGTCTCTTATTTCTATATTATGCCTTAATCTGGCCGATGGCCAGAATCAGGTAAGAACCGGCCAGAATTATATCCAAGTGACCAGAAATAGGTCTTTTAGCGCACGTCTAAAATATTGGTGTTTAAGCATGCTTGTCTAGCCTAATGAAAAAAAAAGTTTGTAATTATATTCATCTTTGAATATCCTATTAATATTAAAATTGTTTTGTTTATATTACGCTATGCGAATTTATATTTAAAACAAATAAGTAAGAAGTGGCCAGATTTTGGCCAGTTTGCCCTTTGTGAAATATTAAATTTTATTTTAATTTCGATTTATTAGTACATTTGCGTCGGCGAACTCTCGTATCTAAAATTTCAACCTAATTTCAACATTATTTCAACGTTTATTTTTAAACGTTAATTCAACTTTTGCTTTTAGTTGAAAATCAGCGTTAAATCAACGTTGAAGTTTCACCGTTTTTTTTAACGTTGTACTAACGTTGAAATAACGTTGAAACTTAGATCGTTATTTTTCAACTATATATAAACCATCTCTCAACGTTGTGCTTGTGCTTGCTGTGGTAGTATATATACTATAAAAATGTTGTTATAGAATTTTTTAAATGGTAAAACATGAAAGATGTATTATCACAATGTATTGCGCTTCAAAGAATAATTTTAAAATATAAAATACATTTTAAAATTGTTTTTTTAATAGTTTTTTTTTTTATTCTGCTTTTCTTTTATTCTGTTCTTCTAATCTTCGTTTTTTCGATTCTAATTGTCATCAAGGCTAATTGAACACGCTAGATTTAATTTCTTTAATTATGGCATGAAAAAATGGGCTCGGTAACATCATATAAAATATATGGTATCGCATGTTACCAAGCTATTGATGTATTATACATCGGATGTAAAGATGGCTTGAAGGGCTAAAACATTATATAGTGTTTTAGATGTTCCGTGACAAATAAAAAGTTAAAATCTCACGTCATCGCTTACTTTAAAAAAGTCGCGTGAATAATTTAATTATAAACGTCACGCCATAACTAATAACTAAAAGTGTTTTAATTATAAATGTCACGCCAAATCTAATATCTAAAAGTCAAGTGGTTTTTTTTAATTCTAAATGTTGCGTGTTAATTCGGGCATTGTGACATAGCGGTTTTATTTGATAATTTAGCGTGACATTTTTTACACATAACCATAAGTAGTCAATTTAACTATAAAATAGTTAAATTAAAAAATGCTGTGGAACAGTAGTGAGAACGCTAGCTCAAAAATCTGAAGTTCAAAGATTTGGTCAAATAAACAAACTTAAATAAAATTTTCGTCATTACCTATGACTATCTTAATGAAAATTTTAGACAAAAGCTCTGTTAAACTTAAAGGAGAAATGTAAATACGGCTGGAGACAGTTTGATCTTCTTTTAGCACAAATTACAATCTTCTTAATAAAATAGTTATATGAATACACTTTGATGAAAAGATTTTTCAAAAATAATTAAAACAAATTGTTAAACTAAAGATTATTTAAAAACTATTAAAAAAAAATGAAGAAACTTTCTTTTAGAACAAAAAATTGTATACATTTCTGTTTAAAAAATTATCAACCATAATCAATAATGTTTAAATGAAGCGTAAGTCAGTTTAAGAGGAAAAATAAATATGATAAAGTTATTTTATAGAGATATAGACCTCATTAAGTAATAAAAAAGGTCCTTTTTTCAACTGGGTATCCAACCCATTATATCACAAACTTTTGAGTTTTATAAATGAATTAAAACTCTCCAGTAGTTTTTTCTGCTACTTGTTTATTGAAAGAAATAGTAAAGATTTTGTCATTATGGTAAAAATATTTTATTTGTTACATTTATAATTATGTCTCGGATTTATTACTGCAGCAAAGGCTTCCACCTGTTTTAAATGATGTTTTAAAGCCCCATTATACTTTAATCCAGACATAAATAAAGTGAGGGTAGAACAGGGCATACAGTGACACGCAATTTTAGTGGCGGGTATTTTGATGATAGGTAACACTATTTTTAAAAATAGATTTTATGTTATCATTAAATTAAAATGATTTCTATTAAGTTGTTTGATACCACATACTTTTAATACCACATAAATAAATTAAGATAAAAAGAAACCAATAAAAAAAAAAATTAAAGCTTCGAATACTTTTTAAATGATTTTAAAAAATAAGTAATAAGCTATAAGACTTTGCGCAGAGGAAATCTGTAATAGCTATTATATCCAAAAACTTTTATCGATTTAGTATTGTATAAGTATTGCCGATATAACTATTGTATTGACTAAGTATTACCGACAACGAGATTTGTAGATATCAAAAGTTATTTAAGCTCCTCCTATAGGCGTCCAATCTTTTTCAAATATTAAATATTTTTAAAAAAACTTTTTTAAAAATATTTATAACAAGTACTTTAGATTAAATTCAATTTTACATTTGACTAAATGTGAAAAAAATATTTTACATTTAATTAAATGTATTTAAAAAATGAAAAAAATGTATGTACTAATGTGTGTATTAACAAGCAACGTTCAAATGTGTATTCGTATTAAGTTACTTTTTTAATTAAAAGTAAAAAAGCCATTATGGGTATACCTATAATAGCTTTTTTTTTTTTTTTTAAATCTTGTTATGCTATTTATAATTACCATATATGACGTAAAGAAAATGTTATTAATTATTTTAACTTTTTATTCTACTATCTTATTTTAAAAATATGACAGTAGATTAATAAATGATGGAGGCAATAATGAGGCAATATAAATATATATATATATATATATATATATATATATATATATATATATATATATATATATATATATAATATAACCTGTAATTATAAAGACAACAAGTTGTTGTCTTTATAATTACAGGTTGCCCAAGGTAGTAGCTTTTTAATCTTGATAGCAATCCTCAAAGTCGATTTTTTGTGATAAATTTAAAAAAACGTCACTAGATAGTCTTTTGCTAGCTAGTCGCTAGCAAATTTTAAATAAAACTTACAATTATGAAAACAGCTGTTTTTTTTTTGTAGGCGTCTTATTGTAGAAAGATTTTAGTGGAGTTTAACAGCATTGCTAATTATTTAAAACAAGCTATAAAAATAAATACTACAAGACTTTACTTAATATGTTTAACTTATAACTCAGACGCACACTAACAGTTTATGACTAGATAAAGATTTTAAGCTGGGATAAACAAAATATGCCAAGATTAAAACTTTAAAAATAGATATATGATATATCAAGCATAACTAACATAGTTTAAGGATTAACAAAACTTTCAAGCTGTTACTTATATGGAATTGGATTAATAAAACTTTCAAGTTGTTCCTTATATGGAATATAAGATCTCTTTAATTTTCCTATAAATATTACAGCTAATAGTTAAATCGACTTCTACAGTTTAATCAAAATGTGCGGTAAAGCATTTATTCAAGTCTGGTTGCTTGTACAAGTTTTCACAAACGGTATTTCATATTTATATATTTCTATCTTAGTTTTATTCGAATATTCATCACCATCATCATGATTAATATATTTAAGTTATAGTAGTATATAAATATAAGTTGCAGCAGTTATGACATAAACTCTCTAAATAGGTTTACTTGACTTTAGTCATTCAACAAATAACTAAAATTACCTCAATCTTTTCTCAGAGTCTATATGGGCTAAAAGGTTTTTTTTTTTAAAAAAATTTCTATAAAGTTTAAAGTAAAATAAACATTTAAAAAAATATTTTGTATCATTTTGTTAAAATAAATAATAAAATCTTCAATCAAATAAATTTAAGTTAATAATATACAGCATGTCAAATTTATAGTTAATATATTTAAGTTACAGTAGTATATAAATATTTATAAGTTGCAGCAGTTATAATATTGTCAGGAATTAAGATGATGTATTTTTTCAACTGATTCTATAATAAAGGACCATGCCTCATAATTTAAAAAAATTGATTCCAGTGATTTTACTTTCCTAAAAAAATGTTTTTCGTTTGAGGAAAATAATTTACTAATCGATTCAAGTTGTTAGTTGTTTTATATGCGTGTGGTTTGTAAGATTTGTATTTTAATTAGTTTAGTTTTTAATTTTATGAATTAACAGATAATTTTAACAGAAATTAAATGACCCTTATATTATATAAAAGAGAGTAAAGCTTGCTTTTTTAGAATTTAAAGATGATTCATTCTCTTTAAACTAAGTCAAAACTTATAAGTTAAGTATCGATTGTTGCAAACCGCAACTTTACATTGGAGTTATAAAAAAATAAACGTGTGCATACTAACTCAGCATACGTAACTGATGATATTTTATGAACAGCTTTATCCATATTAATAATATATATTAAAGCAATAAAATCCCCGTAATCTTATTGTAACTTGACTGCTTAGACACAACAAATAACTTACTTTTTGAAATAGTTATTTTTAATGCATTTATATAAATTAGGTCTTTAATGCCTTAATGTTTCAGCTTTGAAAGTAAAATTCTCTGATCAACTATGTTAAACGCTTTGGAAAGTTCGTTAAATAATACTGTTAGTTGTTCACTTATATCAAAGGATATTTTATAGGTAAAATAAAAAAAAAAGCATTTTGTGTTAAGCAATGTTTCTTAAATAAAAATAGATTTTTGTCTAAAAGTTTCATTTGATGCTATATAATCATAAATTCTTTCATAAATTAGCCTTTCAAATGTTTTTAAAAATAAATTTCCTTAGAACTTTTTTCTAAGTGTTGGATAAATAGAAACAATTCAAATCATATAAACATATTTGCAAGTTACTAAAATCTACGCTCAGAAAATTGACCTTTAAAGTTGAATTTCAAATATGAGTTTCGCATTAATTTTTTTTAAATTAAGGGTGTTTGTTTAACTTGTGACTCTCTGTATTGGTAATTATGTTTGCGATGAATGTTTAAAATATATTGAATTAACTATACATGAATATTGTTGTAATGGTTGTCAATAGAGATTATGCGAATATCATTAATATCAAGTTTGCTGTCGTGTCAATCTTATTTCTATTTCTTTCTCAGGAACTTATACTTATCAATGATTAGTTCTTTAAATATTTTTCTTATTTTGAACAGAATTAAACTACTATTTATATTAATATTATAAATAACGTTGTTTCAATGTTAATTTAAAATTATATTTTTGTTACATCTGAACTTTTTTTTCATTTGACGCTATACTCATTAGTTAGATAAAAAAAAAAAAAATTTTGAGTTATTATATAAATGATAAAACATTACGTAAACTAGGGAAGACCGGGGTTACCTCTGTGTTTACGCTTTAAGCTCTTAAAGGACTTATTATTTTATGAATTTGAAAATACTGGCTTGAAGAGTATGAATTTAAATAACATTTTCTAAGTTTCATTCATTATATGAAAAAAGAAATTTTTATAAAAAAGCAAAAAAAAAAAAATTTTTTTTTTTTTTTTTTTGATTTTTTAATTTAGAAACAATTTTAAGGGTTATGTTTCCTGATAAAACAAAAACGACAACTTGCATGCTATAGAAATATATATTTTTTAGGAGGTCTTAAAAAATTAATGTAAATTTATATAAAATATTTTTTTTTTATAGCAAACTTCATTAATGGCGGCAATTAAAAAAATGTGTATGTTTTTAGCAGATGATAATTCAAGAGCTGTTATATATTTTTAAATAAAACTTTGACACTATCCTCTTTAAAGCAAGGTCTACAATCTGATGTTTTTCACTTAATATCACTAATGTTAATAAACTATAATCTAGCATTTTTATTGTAACTTTCAAGTTTTAAAGGACACGTGGTTTATTATTGTCGTGAAAACCATAAAATTTAGGAATAGAGTGGGGGTCTAGATTTTTAATTATTTAGTATATATTATCTAATGAGCAGCACTCACATTTTGGGAAAAAACTACTAAAATATAGATTTTGAGTTGTCTAAATTCGAAATCTACATTAAATTCTGATTTAAAAACAAACAAAATCTTTTTTTGAAAAAATTAAAAGTATTTTTTAAATTATTAGGAGGCATTTGATTTCAACAATCAATATATATTTTTATAAAAATTAAAAATATTTCTTAAATTATTTAGGGGGGCATACAAAAAGTTTAATAATACTTCAAGCTAGTAGCAAATAATATATATGAATAAAAAAATAATTTTATCCTAGAAAAAAAAAAGTAACCCTTTTTTTTTTAGGTTAAAGTATCCCCTTAAATTTTTTTTTTTAGTTTTTTGTGAAAAATAATTTTTCTCAATTGTATTACATAAAATCTACAGAATTTTACTATCATTTTGATGATATTAAAATAAACACGTTTGTGCTTACTTACTATGGCATCACAACTGAGCAGTAAATATCCTTTAAAAGGGCGGTAAAATTCATAGATTTTTTCCTACTAAGGCTTTATTGACTCATAAAGTTGCGAAAATCGTTGTTTTGAACGCAATAACAAGATATAACCTTAATTATAGTTTGCAGTTGTATCTTTTCACATTAGCTACAAAAAAAGCTATTTAAAAAAATATATTTCGTAATTTTACATTAAGTATTTTTTTTCGAAGCAGGTTTTAATAAAAATATTATACTTTATTATTTATTTATCTCAATTAAAAATGTTATTATTAATTTATGTTAATTAAATTACTATTAGTTTATGTTAGTTATTTATTTTTAATTTATGTTAGTTAAATTATTATTATTTATGTTAATTGAAAGATTCGTGATCCATAGCTACACACTTTCATGTATATCAACACAACTTGCTAGCTTAAAAGTAAAAATTTATCAAACAGCTTTTTCTTTATCACCACTATTAGTTTTTAATGTATAAAAAACAAGTTTTGTAGAATGCACATTGTAGTAACAAGAATTTTATTGCAACAATTTTCTCATAAAAGATTAAGCGTGTTTGATAATACTTTATTAAATTAGATTTTAAGACAAGACATTCTTTTAGGCAACTATTAGGCTGATAGCCAGTGTCGGAAAAAGGACTTGTGACCCGGGGCTATTTTTGTTTTTGAAGGCCTTTTTATGGGCCAGAGCCTAAAAATGACTAAAAAAAAAAAGGCCTCTAAAATTTTTGGGGCCCATAAATGTGCGGGGCCCAGGGCTAGAGCCCCCCTAGCCCCCTTGATCCAATACTGCTAATAGCTTTTAGCAACTATTAGGCTGAGAGGTAATAATGTGTATTAATTCAAAAAAAGATTGTATAGTCTTGAAAGAAAAAAATCTTTCTTCGCGTTTAAAAAATCAATTGCCATTATTATCAATTCAAAATAGAGGAAGCGATTTTACTTATATTTTTAAAACTAAGTTCGAACTTGAGGTCGGTTTTTGATAAAACAAATGCTTTACTTCAAAATCATCATAAGATCAATATTACTCATAAAACTGTACAAAAAAATTAATTTTGTATAAATACTTTATTTTTTTATTAAAAAAACTGTTCTAAAAAATATTAAATAACGAGCAGGGACGATTATACGTACGTGTGTGTGTGTATGTGTGTGTGTGTGTGTGTGTGTGTGTGTGTGTGTGTGTGTGTGTGTGTGTGTGTGTGTGTGTGTGTGTGTGTGTGTGTGTGTGTGGGTGTGTGTGTGTGTATTGTATTGTATATTTATTCAGTAATCAATAATTATTTATAATTTTATTAAAATCGCACAATAAAACAGTTCGTAGTACGAATTTATCTAGACTGCATATTCTAATTATTGACGGAGAGAGGCTGACAAACACCCCTCTTTTCTGACAGTGTTTGCAATTATAGCTGCGCCAGCCAAATTGCATGAATAAATCGTACTATCGAGTCCACATTTAAAACAATTAAGTGATGGTGCGTTTACTGTAGTAGTTGTTAAGGAGTTCCAGTTTTTAACTACTCGGTTAGTGAAAAAAGTACGTCTTTCTTCATGTTTCAATGTTTTTTTGGCGGCTAGTTCAAAGGCATGGCTCCTAGTTCTTAAAATGTATTTAGATCCTCGATAGGCTGGTGTAGTTTGTTGCACCACAAAATTGATTGAATCAATTCTATTAACTATTTTGTACTGCTGTATAAGATCAATACGCATGCGGCGAGTTTTAAGAGTAGTCAGATTAAGCCGTGTTAAAAGTTCCTCGTGTTTTAGATTACTTATTGACCTGATCCATTTCGTTGTTCGATGCTAAATTTTTTCAATTGTGTTTATATCTCCTATGAAATGAGGAGACCACGCTGGGGCAGCAAATTCTCATAATGGTCGGATATAGGTAGTAAATAAAAAGCGCCAAAGAGTTAAACCACGACTTCTGAACCCCTTTTTAAATTTCCCTAGCACTCTATTTCCAGCTGCAGCTGCGTGTTTAACTTGTAATTTCACTTTAAGGTTATTGGAAACTATAACTCCTAAATCGCATTTTTTTGTTGTGGTTTCGAGTTGTTTGCGATGACCATTTTGTGATTCAATTGTATACAATTAGTTTGGCTTATAATTTATTTTTTTTGCCTTATATTTTTATGCTATTTAACATTGAAAAATGCTAAGTTATGTGCATAACTTTGCATTTTTCAATGTTAAATAGCATAAGCCAATTTTTGGACCAGTTTACAGCAGTGTCAAGATCTTTTTGAAGACATAGTGCATCTTTTTCTGACTTGATAACACCTATAATCTTGCTGTCGTCTGCATACATTTTTATATGATTCAAAATTCCGGTAAATCGTTAATATTGAGCACAAAAAGCAGCGGTCCTAAAACCGAACCCTGAGGGACTCCGCTAAACACTTTTTACCATGGAGACAATGTATCATTTATTTTGACATGTTGTTCTCTATTTGTTAGCCAGTTTCTTATCCAGTTATGTAGTTGACCGTGAATACCATAAGCCTTTAGTTTCTATAAAAGTCTTTTATGCGGTACCTTATCGAACGCTTTTGAAAAGTCTGTATAAATTACGTCTGCCGTAAATCCCTGGTTGATGGCGTCAATAAAAATATCCCGCGATTCTAATAGGTTTGTTGACACCCCTTGTGTTTGACGAAGCCATGCTGAGCTGGGGTAATAAGGTTGTCTTTGTCGCAGTGCTGCATAATTAAAATCTGGATTAAACCTTCCAACACCTTACAGGGTACTGAGGTTTTGGAAACAGGCCGGTAGTTTCTAGCTTTTAACTTATTTCCTTTTTTGAAAATAGGTGTTACTTCTGCTTTTCTCCATTGATCTGGAACAAAGGATGTTAAAATAGAAGATTTAAATAACATGGTTAAAGGTATTGAAAACGCTTCTGCGCAATTTTTTAAGACTCTAGGATGGATTCCATCAGGACCTATTGCTTTTGAAGGATCAAGTTTAAGCAGTCTGTTTTTGACTTCTTTATATGTAATGAAATCAATTCTGCTGTCGCAAGTGACAGGAGATCGGTTTAAAAAACTTGGTAGAGGTCCTTGCGGCTCTACTTCAAATAAAGCATAAAAATAATTCATCAATGTCTTACATATGTTAAATATGTTATCGGTCTCCGATCCATTGCTGTCTTCAAGTAAATAGATTTTATCATGGACTTTGATTTTGCTTTTCACATAAGAATTTAGTCCCTGATTTTTAAACGATAAAGTTAATGCGTCCTCATAGTCAATTTTTGCTTTTTTCACAACTTTTGAGATGGTTTTTGCTGCTTTGCTATATTCTGCTCTGATAAGTTGGTGCGTCCCTGGTCCTGCTGATACATATTTACCCCAGAGTTTACTCTTGTTTTTTACAGCTTCCATGACCTTACTACTAACCCATGGATTTGTGGTACTTGGTATGTAGAGTGAAGTAGCTTCATTATATTTTTTAATTAAAAGTTTGTATTTTTCGGCTTCTTATGCACTTTTGAATAATGTCTCCCATTCATAACATTTAATATGGTTCGAGAAAGATGTATAGTTTGCCTTGCTCCACACTAATCGAGAAATTATAGGTGGTTCATTGTTTGTCATTGTTGCTGCGAATGAACCTACAATAGTTAGGTGAGCTTGTCCCTCGGGCGTTGATCCCAAAGGTTCAGCTTGAGTTAAGAAAATTATTCTGTCTGGCTCATTGGTTATAACTAAGTCCAAGATGGACTTTGGTTCTTTAAAACGTGAGTTTCAAAAGGTTTGGAAAATGACAAGTTGCGTAAGATGGTTTTCCTCTAAACAAGACTTGAACTTAATGACAGGTAAGCTGTTGATCAGTATGTCGACTTCTGTCGAAACACCTCCTCCAACGTTAATATTTTCATAGCTAATGTGTCTGAAATTAAAATCACTATAGAGTAGTAAGGAGTTGCAACCAATTGTTTTGAGGGCCTTTGTAGCAGTCTGAATTGATTTGGTGATTTCTAGGAGCGCAAGTTCATCGTTATTTGGTGGTCGATAGATACACCCTAACAAAAGTGATTCATTTTCGAGTTTCAGCTTTATCCATATCTGTTCAATGGTGTTTTTGTTAAGTTGTTCAATGTTTGTGAGCGTGCACTTGAGCACATCAGCTTTTACGCAAATAGCTACACCACCTCCTATTTTTCCACCCCTGTTTTATGAAAAGATGTTATACCCTGCAATAGCAGTATCTGAAGCCTCAGTAAACCACGTCTTAGCAAAAAAAATAAGATGTGGGCGGTTATGCTTGTTGGTTGCTTGTATTCTGGCTTTCAACTCGTCAATTTTTGTTTGATTTAGTGAGCATGGATTATTTGCCTAAAAATTGATGTTACTGAGAACTTTTACTGAGTAAGTTTTAGATAGTTCGGGCTGCTGAGGTATGACAGGAAAACGTCGAAATAATGGTGATTTTCGAGTTGGGCTTTTTCTTTTAAGATTGACGCTCGGTGGTTGTAACGATTGGAATTGTTGAGAATGAGGCTGTTGAATTTTTTCTAGCTGGGGTGGATGGTGAACTTCTATTAATGACATTTATTGTAAAATTTGGTTTTGAGGCATTAGCAATTGCGTTTGCAACAATCTTGATGTTGAAAAAGACTGATCTTTTGTGAGTAGTTGACACTTGTGCGTTAATTGGTTTAACACAGTTAAAGCGTCGATGGATAACGAAACGGAATGGCGAGTCGAGCAGCTTTAAAATTGCGAGTTCACTATTTCGTTCTTTTTTTTCGCGATTAAGTTTGTTGAATTCGTGCTGTTCTGCCTCCGTTCGGTCTTTTCTAGCAAACACATCCTTATACTCAGGTGTGACGAGACTGTGGTGCCTAGCTTTCGACAAGACTATGGCATGCGATTCAGGGTCTTTGACTGTGACCTGCATGAGCTTGGTTTTTCTGATTTCCGTGTCGAGTTTTTTATGATTAAAACCTCTGCCTCTCACAATAACTGAAGTGTCGATACCAACAGCTCTGAAGAAATTTTGTGTGGGTTAAAATACTTCATTTCACAGAAAAAGATAAGACTTAACTGAATGACAAGTAACACAAGAATGAATTTTAGTAGATGACATAGAAGATGCTAGCACTTTAGAGCAGCGCCTTTTATAGAATTAAAAGAAAGAAGAAAGAGTAGCAACATTGCGACAATGTGGTGCAACTATGTTTACAATGCGTTTTTGCAACTTGTCTAAAAGAGAAAGGGCATCATTCAAAGATCCGCTCCAGATAAGGCAACAGTATTTCATTCAAGGACGGATTAGAGATTTATAGAGATGAAAAATAAAAAAGAAACAAGCACGATAAAGATATGCCATCTTACCAGATACTAACTTTGCATTGAATTTGAGATAAGATTTATAAAAAAGTTCGGAAGTAAGAGTTAATCCTAGAAGAAGGGTAGATGAATCATCGAGTTTATTACCTTTTATAATTATAAAATTATATATAATATATATTTTATATAATATATAATTATATATTTATATAAATATAGGAAGATTTTAAAAGACATTTTAAAAACTTCTTAAACAATATATTGTAGTTACTATTTATAGTTACAATAAAAAAAACTCAGAAAAATTGCTTTTCAAAGAGAGCTTTTTAAAATTTTTATAATCTGCTTCACAACATTTTACAATAAAATTGTCCAAATTAACTAACTAAATAAGACATGAAATTTCACCCATTAATTATAAAGTAACTTATCTTTTTTAAAAATTTCGTGATTTAAAAATTTCCGGGAAATTTTCATCAAGAAATCGAAGTGATTTAAGCTGAAAATTTACTTTCGTAATTTGCAACCGAAATTTGCAAATCGAAATGAGGTATAAGGCTTCAAATTTAAATATGTTTGTTTTTATTTTCTACTTGACTTTTTTGCTTTAAATAATCGTTTTTTCATTTTTGTTTTATCGGTTGATTTATTGAGGGAATCTTGAGGTTTTTGATGCAATTTACATAATTCTATTTTCGATACAAAACAAGGTTGTTAATTTCGAGCCATTTCTTTATTAATGAAAGTAATGATAATGTCTTCATAACTTCAGTTAAAACATTAATTAAAACAATAAGGAAATAAAGTTATAAAACAGGCGCTATTTTTAAATAATATCAAATTAAAACAGGTTAGTAATATTATTAAAAATTAGAGAAATTAGTATAAAATTTTTTCAAGGTTCGTTAAAAAATCCATATCTTTAGTAAACAGAGCATTTTAACACCTACTCTTTAAAACTAAAAAAAGAAATAACTAAAAAAACATGTTGACGACTAAACTATAGCCAATTCAATAACAGTTTCTTCGTTTAAATGATTTTTTAAAAGCTGAACATAAGTATAAAAAATAAAAAAACAAATAAATAAATAGTTTTCAGAAAAATATTTTTAGGCTGTTAATATTAATTAGTTTGAAGTTCTTTCAAAATAGAGTGTGTACATTTAATTATATTTTTCTGTTTGTATGTTTAGGTAGTTGTATTATTGCGAATTTAGAACTGGATACTTTGGTTCTAAAGGCCTCCAGGTTTAAACACCTAGATGTTTTGAAATTTTAGTAAAAATTGGTTAACATCTTTTTTTTAGCGCAATTTTTACCTGAGGATGAAGTTGTGTTTCCCAAACGCCATCATAATTCACGTTTAAAAAATGACCTAGGCACGTCAAATCAGGTAAAAGCCTTATTATTACTTGAAATCTTATTTTTTTTAAGACATATAACAATAAACAATCTATTTTAAAAAATCTTTTTTAATCATAAGTAAATGGTATTATTTATTAGGACATATTTGGGTGTATATCAGGTATAGGTAAATGAAACTTAAATTTTATGAGTATCTTACTGGAATTCTGGTAAGTTACTACAGTAAACTGTTTAAAATCATAAATCCAACTGGTATATTTTAGATCTATTGCCTATGTTTGTTTTTTCTATTCATACCTTGTTGAATAAAATGAACAATTTATAATATAATATAACTATTTAAGTACTGCTATAATATATTTATAATATAATATAACTATATAAGTACTGCTATAAATATAGTTCTGATAATAAATATAATACACATAAGAACTGCACATAAATTTTGCAATTTAATAAAATACAATTATGACTTTTTGATAGTTAGTTACTAGTATTAATTCAATTACTTGATGAACTTTATAATGTGTATCAGGTCTTAGCAGAACCGATTTCTTTAGCTATCGTCCATACTCTACTAAATTAATTTATGAAAGCAATTTAAAGCTCTTAGAAGAGTAATAATTTGTTATGAATAACAACCACTTTATTTTTTTCTCTATTTTTAAATATTAATGAGAAAATTTAAAAATTCTGGTGCAAGCCTATAAAATAGATCATATAAAAAAGACAACAATTGAGTTGAAGATTGACTTTTTTGATTACATTTTGTGATTGTTTTTTTTTTTTTCAGACTAGTCACAAATTTTTTTTGCAGTGCTTGAGATTATATTTTAATTATATAAATAAGTTGTGGACATCATAATATAAGTTATTCCATAATACATTAAATTTTTTGTTTTGTTAATACAGAATTTTATTATTATAAATGTGGACATAAATTTCACAAATTAATAATACAAAGTTATAAAAAAAGTAGTAAGAAAGCCTTTTTCTTTTCATTTCAAACATAGATGCAGTGCAAAAAGATTTTTTTTCCTTTTAATTCTTCATATAAAATATTCTTGTAACATTAATGACATTATTGTCAAATTTTATCACGAATAAAGTTGTTAATGAATTAACAGCTAGCTAGTGTGAAAACCCAAAGAAAACGTTTGTCTAAAGATTTTTTTTGAAAAAAGGAATATTTCATAAATTTTAGGGCATGGTAAATGTCCCTCTTTGAGCATATATAATTGTAACATTAACGTTATATTTTGTATCTAATTAGCTATTTTGTTAAATAAACAGAGCTTGCGAAAAAAAATAAAAAGTCTCATAAAAAGCTGTTTTGAGGGGCAGCTCACAAGGCTCACTATGTTTCTTTAAGGGGAGCATTTATCTTCTCCTACACTCAGTTATTACACACTAAAGCAGGTAAATAGGTAAGACTACATATTTTGAAATCATAGTTATTAAACTTGCTGCTAAAGTGATTTACTACCCAGAGAAAATAAGTATATAAATAAAAAAAATTTATTACTTCAGTATTATGTGGATTTTTTTTTAATTTTATGTTTTTTTGATTTAATTTTTATTAGTTTAGTGTTGGGCTTTTCTATGGAAAAATAAGAACATCGACTTTGAAAAGTTTGTGGTTTAGCCAAGGAATATTAGTGGTTTATCTTTGTAAAATTCGTGGTTAAGCTTAGGAAAGTTAGTCACTCAGAAAATTTTTTAAAAATATATATAAACTCGAAACTATTGGTAACATATTTTTTTTGTTTTTTTTTGTTTCTCAATAAAAGATGAAGGCTTTTTTTGTTTAATAAAAATATATATCTTAAAAACATTTTTAACCATATTTTCAATTTTTTGAGTGCCGATAGTTTTACCAACATAAATAACTAAATTATTTTTGGTAAAAAGTTCAAATAAACTAGAAAAGTATTCATAACCTAAAGCTATTGATATATTTAAAAAAATGCTTTTTTTGCTTAAAATTAAATTCAAATACAAAAATTTATAGTAGTCATTTTTTAAATACAAATACAAATTCTTTAAAACCATATATTTAACTTATTTTAGTTGTGAAATTAAAAAACAACAAATCCCTTGGTTTTTCCCCCAAAAAAAACATTTGTCAACCTAGTTTACTGTGGGTTTTCTTTGGGTAAAACTCTGTAACAAATGCATTTTAATCTATTTAGAAATTTTTCAATTTAATACAATATTAATACAGATACGCCAATTTAATCCCTAACTACCAAAAAAAATATTTCAAATACAAATACTTATTTGATCCCAGCCCTGGCAACCACTATCTTTTAAGTCAGGGTATGTAAAAATATATATACATATATTTTTTTTCTTCTATCGTTGTATTTTTTTGTTTGTGTTTGCTAAAAATAATTGTTTTATCAAAAGATAATTAAAAGTTAAAGATCATAACAAGTTGGAAGTTGCAAGTTCAGCATTCTGACATGAGATTCTTAGTTTTGAATTTTTAAATTGACATTGGTTTGTTCTGTTAGACAAAAAAACCTGTGATCAAAAAAAAAAGTTCATTAGTAAAAATCATTTGGATTATAGAGGTTATTAATATTAAAATGATATTTCCTAATAGTTTTTACTAGATTTCTTTGAAAAACTCTGCAAAATGTAAAGAATGATATTTGAATCTATTCATTAAACCATTCAATTAGTTTTTTTCAGCGCTAAGGTTGTTTTTTCATGGTTGTGGAACAATTCTTTACTACATAATTTTTTTTAAATATAAAATATATTTAAAAAGATTATTATCTTCATTCCTGAAAGTTTGTCAACATTTATACATTGGTGTCAGGGCCGGCGCTAGTATTTTTTGGTTTTTGAGATAACTTCCAGACATGGAGCAAACTCCAAACATATATATATATATATATATATATATACTTATGTCAAATAAGGATGCTTTGCAGAAAATTGCAATAATTGGAGCTTGGAAACAAAATAGCCCCAAAATTCTAATAATTTTGGGACTATTTTGTTTCCAAGCTCCAATTAATTCTAATATTCATCGATAAATTTTAAGTTTTATAGTATAATCTCTTAGTGTTCAAAAATTATAACAGTATAAAATTTGCAACCCCCTCAAGTTGAGGGGGGTTCAAACATTATATAGTCATAAGTTTTGAACGCTAAAGTATTTTACTATGAAACTTAAAATTTATCGATGAATGCTAGCCTTGTTGAAAATAGTACAAAAAATATTTTATCAACTTGATGCTCTCACGTTTGGGGCAGACTAGGCAAAAACTTTTGGGCTATTTTGTTTCCAAGCTCAAATTATCGCAATTTTTTGCAAAGCATCCTTATTTGACATAAGTATAAATATATATATGTTTGGAGTTTGCTCCATGTCTGGAAGTTAGCTATCTTAAAAACCAAAAAATACTAGCGCCTGCCCTGATTGGTGTATACTTTTTTCATTAAGATTTATATTTTATAAAGAGAACAATCTGGTCTTAAATTCATTAAGACCATATTGTTTAGCTTTTTCTACATGCCAATGTAAATTCAAAAATGGAATTTTCAATGCACATATCATTCTTTATATTTAAAAAACATGTCTTACCAATTTTATTTCAATCCCATTTTAGTTTCGAGCCGTGTTGACTAAAGCAAAGAATTGAAACAAAATGTATAAAGAATCATTGTCTTTAATGAAAATATCTTGATAGTATCTTGTTAAATTATATTTTCAAAATAGTATACTCTATGTATAGGTATATATATATATATATATATATATATATATATATATATATATATATATATATATATATATATATATATATATATATATATATATGTATATATATATATATATATATATATAAATATATATATATATATATATATATATATATACATATATATATATATATATAAATATATATATATATATATATATATATATATATATATATATATATATATATATATATATATATATATATATATATATATATATATATATATATATATATATATATATATATAGGGGAGAGCGGGGTTGGTTGTCACGCGGGTTGGTTGTCACAAAGTTTATTACAGGAACTGTAAATAAGATATAGAAATTTCAAATTATACAATGAAAATGTTATATAAAAAAAACATTTTTACAGTAATTTTTATCTTTTTTTAGCGTGCAGAAGAAAAGTTATTCGTTTTTATAGATTTTTGATATGAAAAAGTAAAATTTCGCCTACTCAGAAATTTTCTTTTACCAAACGAAAATTATTTTATTGTGTTTTGAATGTAGATTTATAAAGTACTTTATTCATTTGAGTAACTTAATCCGTAAAAAATTATCATGAAATTCTCACGCTTTTAGGTAAATGTACAGGTGTCCAGCAACTTACTCAGAAGGGGTTGCTTGTCACAAAATATATGGGGTTGGTTGTCACACTTGCCTCGACTCCATGCGCTGCAAATTAAACGCCGCTTGCTGGCTTTGTTTATTTTCCGCATTATTGAGGAATATTTTAATGTTTAAGATATTATTTAAAAATCTAAAGTCAAAGTGTTATATTTGTTTAACTAAATATCGGTAATCTAAATTATTTTTATTTCAACGTGCATAACTTTAGATTCCGATCCAATGTTTAGTATAATTATAGAAAAAGGATTGCAAAAGTCAACTGTTTATTGTTTTGTTTACAAACTAAACAACTAGCTGTTGTTTAGTTTGTAAAACTGTCTGTTGTTTTGTTTGTGCATTGTTTATATTTAGTGGGTTTATATATATATATATATATATATATATATATATATATATATATATATATATATATATATATATATATATATATATATATATTAATGTTTTGTTTACATTATTTGCAAATATTTTTATTTGCTTAGTAATAAACATGGTACGAAATTTTAAAAGAAAAGCTAATAGAGGTTATACTTCTGGAGATGTCATAATGTGTGCTGTTAAAGATGTAAAGATTAATAACATTTCTATTAGATCAGCAGCAAAAAACCATGGCATTAGTTACAGAACATTAGCACGTTATTGTAAAAAAATTATTATTACTAACCCATCACATGGTTCTATAGCAGATCTAATTGACAAAATTGAAAACCCCACCTTCCTGAATGTTATAGGATACAAAAGTCGATTGATATTGCCAGAAAAAGTAGAAAAAGAACTGGTCACCTACCTGTTGCAAGCAGCAGATATATATTTTGGTTTAACTCCTACCGAAGTAAAAAAGCTTGCTTTCCAGCTAGCAATTAAAAATAATATGAAGGTTCCCAATTCTTGGGTTGCAAAGGAACAAGCTGGTAAGGATTGGTTTACAGGATTTATAAAGCGCCATTCAAATATTTCCATTAGGCAACCTGAAGCTACTAGTTAAAGTTGAGCGACAAGTTTCAATAAGCAGAATGTTGCATCATTTTTTAGCAATTTGCAGCACTGTATGCAAAAATACTCGTTCTCACCAAATGACATTTGGAACATGAACGAAACTGCTGTAACTACTGTACAGCAACCTAAAAAGGTTATTGCGAAAAAAGGATTAAAACAAGTAGGAGCCATCACGTTAGCTGAAAGAGGAACTCTTGTAACATTAGCATGCACAATAAATGCTATTGGAAATAGTATTCCACCCTTTTTTATTTTTCCTCGTAAAAACTTTAAAGATCGTTTCCTAATCAGTGCACCAACAGGAAGTGCAGGAGATGCAAATCCAAGTGGTTAGATGAAAGAAGAAAACTTTGTAAAATATTTAAAACATTTTTTAGGCAATACAAAATGTACTAAAGAAAAGCCTTGTTTATTGTTGCTTGACAATCACGAAACTCATCTTAGTATTGAAGGATTAGATTTGGCAAAAAATAATGGAATAGTAATGCTTACCTTCCACCACATTGCACACATAAGTTGCAGCCCTTGGATAAGGCAGTTTATGGTCCTCTCAAAAACTACATAAATAATGCTATGACATCATGGTTAGTAATGAATCCTGGAAAAACTGTTACAATATATGATATTCCAAAAATAGTAAACATTGCATTTCCTAAGGCTGTATCTCCCCACAATATTTTAAGTGGTTTTTCTGCAACAGGTATTTACCCGTTAAATCCTGATGTGTTTACTAAAAATGATTACTGTCCTAACTATGTAACTGATCGCCCTGACCCACCTTGTTCACAGGCTGATTTAAATAAAAAAGACTGTGAAAGATTCATCACAGTCTTTTCAATTTTCATTCAATGCAACCAGAACCATCAAACAAAAGATTTAAAGAATCTATTCAGAAATCAGGTAGACATAACAATAGAAGATCCAGTTGTATCAAATAAAACCTCTAATCAGAACCCAATCACAACATTAGGTTTTAACAATTCAATCATACCACCTGAGAGTATTAGGCCTCTGCCTAAAGCAGGCCCGAGGTTAGCATCAAAAAGAGGTAGGAAAAAGCGGTCAACTATGATTCTTAATAACACGCCTGTCAAAGCATGGCTTGCTAATTATAAAAAGAAGAAAACTAATAAAAAAATTACTAATAAAAAAAAATTATTAATGGAAAAAAAAAAAATTAATAAAATCAAATCTTGCTACGAAAAAACCTTCTATAGTCTTAAATTCATCTGAAGATAAAGAGTATCTGTGCATCTATTGTTTTGAATCATTTTCCAACAGCCGATCAAGAGAACAGTGGATTCAATGTCAGGTTTGCCAAAAATGGGCTCATGAAGAATGCACACCAGGCTTACAACAGTTTATTTATGAATTGTGTTCTTTATCCAATAATTTTTAAAAAACCAAACCTAAAAACATTTATAGTGATAAACTAAATTTGTTAATTGTGTTAGATTTAAAATATATATATTTCAGTTTATAGTATTTTATTTTTATTTTTTTTTAGTAAAACATAAACGAAATTAATTTGTACTTGTTTTACATTAAATTCTTATCTAAACTTGTCAAAATCCAAATGTGACAATCAACCCCGCACCATGTGACAACCTACCCCGTGAGCGGGGCTAGTTGTCACACAGAAGTGGTCTTTGAAAAATGATTTTACAGCAATAAATATTTCACTCAATGTCATAAAAATATTATAATAGTTACTGGAAATAGTTAAACTAGCTTTGTGCAAAGTTTGGCATTGATTGGATGAAAATTAAAAGCTGAGCAGCCTAAAATGTAAAAAGTGTGACAACCAACCCCGCTCTCCCCTATATATATATAAATATATATATATATATATATATATATATATATATATATATATATATATATATATATATATATATATATATATATATATATATTTATATATATAAATATATATATATATATATATATATATATATATATATATATATATATATATATATATATATATATATATATATATATATATATATATATATATATATGTATATATATATATATATATATATATATATATATATATATATATATATATATATATATATATATATATATATATATATATATATATAAAATATAAAATATAAAATTAAAGTAAAACAATAATTAACAAGTTTTTTTATTTCACTAAATTAAAACACTATGTTTCTGAATATATTCTTATTATTGTATTCATTTTTTGAAAATTTGTTTAAAAAAATAAAAAAAAGATTTTTAAATTTGTAACAGCTTGAAAATAATAAGTTTATATACTCTCATGTGTCTGTTAAATGTACGAGTTTTGTTTAATGGAGCACAATGATTTTTCTGTATCTGGGTTTGCTATGCCTTATTCTCAACAAATGAACTTCTAAGTGCATTTTTGTTTGCATAGCAGACTTAAGAAAATTCGCTCTTCTGTTATTATCATAGCTCTAAATTTTATAACATTAAATAAAGTTCATTTACAAGTACAATCTTCATTAATTATTTGTATCTCTTTTTATAGCGCATACCTATAAACTTCCATAGAGATTTAGAAAATGAGCATTATTCTTTTCAGCCTTTATGTGTATCTCTACAAGGATTTGAAATATTTTAAGAGTTGTGCAAAGATTTTTTAACTTTTTTAAGTATTTTGTGTCTCAATATACAATAATATAATATTACTTTATTTAGCATGGAATTCATGAAGATTATGTCACCTATGAAATTAAATCAAAAAGAGACCATCATTTTTTGGATTTAAAAAAGGCCGAGTAATTAATTATTGATTGTTTATGTTATGCTATGGATATGTGCATTGAATTATGAACTAGTTGCATTATCTGATTAATTTTATAGAAAAATACACCCAGGATTTATTTGGGTTCGTTCTATTAAAGATAATAAAGAAGTTACAAAAAAGGTATGATTTAAAAGTTTAAAGAAAATTTAAAATTTCTTCTTATTTTTAATAATGTTCCTAAAATAATATTTGTACAATATTTATCATAAATAAAAATAAAAATAATTTTTTTTAAAACGTTTATCCAAATATATTATTCTTTTTAAAAATATAAAAGGATATAAATTTCAACTAAAATATATTAGCATTATCCAGAGCATTGTTATTATGAAGGAAGCGTTCGAGGAATAAAAGATTCATATGCTTTTATCAGTACATGTAGTGGTGGATTATCGTAAGTTTATTTACGCTATACATTTGATAATTAAAGATATAAAAGCAATTGCTTTTTTTCTATAGTACATTGATAAACATAGCCATAAAATATTGTTACTGTCACAAGCCTTATGGCACATAAAAGTTATTTAGTTTACTGCACATAAAAATTATTTATTTAGAAAAGTATTTAGTATTTTAGTAAGTACCATAAGATAAAGTAACTTAGATCAGTATTAAAATCATTTTTTTTTTTTTTTTTTGCAAAATGTAATTTTGTATGATTTTAATTTAATATATGTATTGCACATGATGTCAAAATAACACAAATAAATCAAAAATATTTTTTTTTTTTTAAATTTTTAAGGTGGGTCAGAGTTCCATTTTGTAGGGATGATTTGGGTCAACTAATAAAAATTAATTAGTATTGGTTTTTTATATATATTTTGCATATTCTATGATATATGAATATTAGATGGTATGCTTTTAAGACAAAAAATATTAAGCTACAGCTTGTGTAAGTCACAAATTTAAATTATAAATGATTAAGGCAAAAGAAATCTTATTAATATAAAATTGAAAAAGTTTTATTTTTTAATTTTAAAATATCTAAAACATAAAACATGCATCAACCATCAAATAATTAGTTCTAGTGTTATGCTACAATAAATTATTTGCACATATTTGTTGTGAATAATTCAAGTCTATTTTACAACATCACGGGGCTCTCAGTGGCTGGTGAACTTTAACTCAGAGAAACTAAATTTTTATCAGCTATCAAGTTATTACAACAATTTAGATCTTCCTATATTTATGAAGGGTAATGTACTTGATGAGCCATCTACCCTTTGTCTAGGATTAACTCTTTCTTCCAGTCTTTCTTGGAAACCAGAAATTAAAATCATGCTTGCCACTTATTCCAGATTCTATTCTTCATCTCTTTAAATCTCAAATCTTTCCTTCTATGATTTAAAGATGTTTACAAAAAGAAAAAAAATCTTTCATCTGTAAGAAATTGGGCCTTGCAGTGGATTGTGGATTTTCAGTCTGGACTTTAAATCTACAAGTTTTGTTGGATAATTAAACTCGTTTATTTATTTAATAACAACCCTCTCACTCTCAGACAGAGTCTAAAAGTATATTGCAAATATAATTAGACGGTATTTTTGCCAAGCTTGAGCCACTATCCCATGGATGTAAGGTTGCATTTCTTACTTTTTTTACAAATACTATTATGGTCACTGCTCAGGCAAGCTATCATCTCTAGTTCAATTAATCCAAATTCATTCTTGTTTGGCTTCTCATCTAGTAAGTGGCAAATATTTACTGTATCTGTCCCTTGATGTTTTAAAATTTTTTATTAATCCAGTTTTTTTTATTGCACTTTAACAAAATCTCTAAATTCTTACCCATCTTCATGTTTTCCTGAATATGCAACCTACAATTTATCAAGTCCTTGCTCTTTAACCCTATCCTTTATTTTCTAGTAACTCATAAAATAATAGTGGTTACTTATAACCTTGTTGGAATTTAAATTGTTTAAAAAAATAAAAAATATTTAAATATATGCCAATATTTAAGAAATAGTAAATGTATGCATAAATTTATAATATACAAAGTATTATAAATTTATTCTAGCCCTTGCTATCAATTCCTGCTAAATCTTATAGCAGAGTTTTAGAGCAGCTCCTGAGCTGGAGCTATCCGGAGCTGGTGATTTTACATGGAACTGAGCCGGAGCTGGAGCTAAAATATTTCCTACCGTAGCTGGCTCCGGAGCCAGCTCCGCCCATTTTGATAATTTGAAATATCAAATTTCCATAAAGTTATTTTTTTAAAGAATTTAAACAATTACGCTCATTAAAATAATTATAATTTCTAAATAATGCATTTTTTCATTAGATTTATAAAAAAAAAAAAGAAAAATATTTTTTTCGGAGTTTAATTTTTATTCAATTATTTTGTGTAATATGTCAGGTGGTTCTTATTGTAGAGTATGATAAGTTACTTTAAAATAATACTTCTAAACAATGTCGATGATTGGTTATAGGATCGTCCATAAAGTATATAAGCTTTTTTTTATCTTCCCACCCTCTCCCCATCCTGCATTTTGCTTTACACTTTTTTGAAATTAAAAGGGTAGGTACTTTTTTTACCTAAAAGTACCTAGCCTTTTAACCTACCTACTCAACATTATGTGATATTTTTTTAAATTTAGTGTCTCCTTACTTTTATAATTGACCCCTCTCCCCCATTTGAGTGTACTTTATGTATGATTTTTTATGTACATACTTACGGACAATCCATAACGAAAAAATACTTTTTCTATGTGTTAAGTCACATGATTTATTTTAACGTTTTTAATAAGTTGAAACATTTTTAAAATAGATATCAACATGTGAGTTCCAAATAAAATTAGGAAAAGATTTAAGCATTTTTTTTTGATATTATTGATATTATTTTTGTTTATACTATCTTTTTTATTATTTCTCTTTCTTTAAAATTTATTATTTGCTTTAAAATCTTTAAAATTTGTCATTTGCTTTATTATCATAGTTTTTTATAAAAATAGCTCTAAACTCAAATGATCCTGAGAGGTTTCTAGATCAGTTTTTTTAAATTGATAAAACTACAAAACTTTTTTCAATTGATAAAACTACAAAACATGACAGATTACAGAAAAGTTAAATGATAAAGTAATTTCATGCGCCATGCAAATAAAAAAATAAAATATATACAATAAGAAACGGCATTTGGAAAAATCACATCTATCAGAATATAAAATTGTTGAATCTGAAATGAGTCTTATGGCCCAAAGAAAATCTTCGAAATTATCTTATCACATTCACAAGATTTCAATACTAAAAAAACTAAACAGATTACTTTAGATTCTTTTGTTATTGCTAGTAGTTGAACAATAAATCAAGTTAGTGCTAAAACTTATAATATTGGAATTATTAAAATGACAGTGATTAACAGTTTTGTTGAAAAATTTTGCGAATGAAGGATTCCAGTTGGTTACAGGCCAATTAGGTAAAACTCTTGGATTTAGTACCGGAAACAATTCTATACGCAATTTGACTAGTGAATTTGCAGAAAAAAAAGCTGAAATAGAGGAAATATTGTAACAGAAATTTAAATTTATGGTAAAATAGATGCAGCCACTCAACAAAAAAATAACTATTTGAAAAAAATTATTCAATATTATTATGCGAAAAAAAACTAAAATTTTTGGCACTGATAGATACACAAGGACAGCACAACCCTATTGCTATCAAAAAAATGGTGGAAGATATTCCATATAGACTTGGTATCAGCAATAATCAAATAGTATGTGCAAGTGTAGACAATGCAGACAATATGATTAGAGCAATCACAATTTTAAACAAATGTTCAGGTGATGAAAACTTTTGAGATGAAGCTTTGCATGATTAAGAAAAATTGGAATTTTTACAACAGGATACAAGTGAAGATGAAAGTGAAGGAGCTCAGGAAGGAAATCTAGCCTTTATGAACCCAGAATGGTGTCAACAATCATCTACTGACATTAAGCTGATGCACTGTGCTATTCACACTTTGCAGCTAGCTATTCGTATGATTTAAAAAAAACATTTATTACCCAATATTTGGCAAAAGTCCATTATGTTGTAAAGAGGCTTAGAAACTTACAATATATTTAGAAAAAAAGCAATACAAGGTTGTTTCAATTTTGGATAATGAAACACGCTGGGGTTCTACATTCCAGAAAATTAAAAGATTATTACTTTTGCATCCAGTGTAAGCAATTTGCTGCAGTTGATCAGATATTTTTTCTACGCCCTGAAATATGGAATAAATCTAGTCATCTATGCAATTTTTTTAAAAAAGCCACATGATGTGACAGTTAATCCACCTTACTCCAGGAGAGTTTGTAAAGGAATTGTTGAAATTGAAATCTGAGCTAGAGAAGAGTCAAGGACTATTGGCAGAAGACATTTCAAAATCTATGCAGAAACAAGGAGAAAAACCTTTTGATAATAGTATATTTCTAGCTGCAGTTTATGCTGATACTAGATATAAAATACTGTTGGAAGAAAACCAAATATTACAAACAAAACAATGCTTAAAAACAATAGCAGAAAAAATTATAAAAGCGATGCCAAGAATATAATAGAAAGTCAAGAAATAAGAAATACTGCTGTGCTATCTACAGTACTTCTTCCAGTTTTAAGTGAATCTAATTCCGATGGAAGAATTAAATTCACTTAAAACTGAAAAGAGGATGAGTTTGAAAAGGAGCATGATAAAAAAGGAAGAAGGAGGTGTGACCAAAATTATTTTTGGTCACGCTTCTATTTTGAATTTTTTTAATAAAAATACTTTTAGTACAAACTTTTTAAAAGACTGTAGGATAATGGAAAAAATGGACATTCAAAAGTGAATTCAGCTTTTAAATAAATTAAAGAATACCCAAAAAAAACACAAGAAGCGTGAAGAGTTGTCACTTGAATAACTATCTCACATGCAAGTGTAGAGAGGCAATTTTCTGCTTTTAAGTTTGTATCAAGCGATCTGCGTTTTTTACTCAAACCTGATATTTTAGATTTACTTTTAAGAATGAATTAAGATTATGATTAACAAAATGTTAATAGTACTTATGTTACTCTCACAAAACACACTCGTAAAAAAAATTTTGATTTGTTTTTTTATGCGGAGCCGCTCTGGATCTGCTCTGGAGCTGGAGCTGGAGCCAAAAATTCTAATGGAGCTGGAGCCAGTTTTTAGATCTAGACTTCAAAGCTCTGTCTTATAGTTTTGCTTGGGTTAAGTTTGCAAAAAGTTTCATTTTTAACCAGCGCCTGGACCATAATCACTTCCTACTTAAAAAATAGTTTTTACAATTTTGAACCTCCAATAAATAAATAATTGTTTATATTAATAGTTCCGAAAACTGCAAGTAAACCAAATAACGTCAATTGGAGATAAATGTGAATTTGAAATTATATACAAGCAAACAGTTTTTTATAATTTAGCAAAAGTCATCTACCAGGCTAAAGTCAACACATTTTAGGGTGCACAATAAAAGTGTCAATATTTTTATATCTAACAAATTAGTTATTTAGTTAGTTTTTATTTCTAAAAATATTTATTTAACCTTTATTGAATTTTTAGAGGAACAATTGATGATGGAAAAACTCGGTATGACATATCACCTAAGGTATTATTTTTTAAATAAGTAGCTATTATTTCTTTAG